AAGTTGATCCCTCCCACTGTTGATCCTTCAATGTTGATCACTCCAAAAGTGAAGTCTCCAATTCTAAATTTCTCCCACACTGTGACTGCATTGCATGCTGGTCAAAAACAGCAGGGTACATTTATATAATGCCATCAATGACCATGGTGTTTCACATGGGCATTATTCAGTGTTTTTGTTCAGATTAAAAGCTGAGAGAAGTTGTAAGCAATGTCTGAGTGGGGTGGAAGGTGATGTATGAAGGTTTGGAGAGACGTTGGGGGGGAGGTAGCTTAGCGTCAGCTGGAGGTGGTGGAGTGATTACAATCAAGGAGGTACAGACACAAAAGCGGTGGAGTGATGATATTTCAGAGGGTGGAGGAGATTACAGGGTGGGGCACAACTGTGGAGTAATTGGAAAAGGAGAAGGAGAATTGGAAGCTGATGTCACTGAGCTGGAAGCTAATGTAGGTCATGGGGAAGAGGAATGAGGAGTGGGATTGAGGTGGAGGGTGGGAATGAGTCAGGATGCAGGGCAGTGCCCTGATATCTCTGGAGATAATGGAAGGTGGGGGGATCCCTTCTGGGAGTACAGGCTGCTTGGATTTTTGTTGCAGCCGGATTGGGGGGGAGGAGGGAGGGAAAGCTGGGGCGAATGCTGGGTCACAGGTGACATTCAGGCAGTGCTGCTGTGATGGAAGTGGTGAGGAGGCTGTGGGAGGGTGGGGGAATCAGGTTGATTGGGGGTCAGGCCAGGGCCTGAGCTCACAGAGTGTGGAAGCTGTGTGACCAGGAGCTTGTTGACAGTGTGAAGAAACTGACGTGCGGTTCATTCCATAGAGCTCAGGGGAACAGCTGAACTGGGTCTCACTTCCTTTGGGAGCTCTGGTTTTCTCTCCCCTGATCCCTGTGTGTTTTTCGGGAAACTGCAGACAAGGAAAGTCAGATTTCCCGGGACTACTCTGAATTTTCTGCTGCAGCCAGCACATGTACTCCACAAACAACAACACTTAAAAGTCACTTGCCTGGTTATTATCCAGATCACCAGCTTATTGGTGGAATCTTGCTGCGTGCAAATCGACTGCTGCATTTCCCTGTGTTGCAACAGTGGGCTGCATTGCAACAAATAAAGAATCAGGGCTTGCTTGGCTGCGGAACACGGTGCAGCCGCCTGAAATAGTGCAAAGCGCTATGCGAATGCAATGTTGCATTGCAGCCAGACAAAATGATGAGAACTGCATCGCTTGCTCCCCTCCTCTGCACGTCTCATCCCACTGCACAGTTCTTCCCAGTGCAACACGCTATTTCCTCTCTCACTCTCTCTGTCTCTCTCTGTCTTTCCTGTTGGACGGGTCCATCACTTTCATAGTCATGAATTCGATTTTCAGCGATCTACCAATCTCTCAACTTCCATGAAAGCCTCCTCTACCCGGCCAAATTCTGAGACATTACATTCCAGACCCTAACCACTCGAGTGAACCTGCCTCTCCCACACTCTCAGACAATACATTCTGGACCCTATCTCCTCTCTGTGTTACTGGGTTGCTCCTGACATCACTTTTCCTTGATTTACAAATTACTTGAAATCTCTGCACTCCCGTTCACTGTCCTTTAAAGGATGGGAACGGTACCTCTCTCTCTGCTCTCTCTGGGCCCCAATCAGATCTCCCCTCTGTCCTGTCCTCTTCATCAGAGAATGCTGCTACCTTCTTGCATCTCCCTCTGTGACTGCACTCCCTTCTCTCTGGAGTTTAACTCATTGCTGTTCATTTTTTTCTGCAGCCTGTCCAATGTGTAGCCTCAATTCATATTAAATTCACAATTTTTGTGTGTGTTCACTTTGGGAAAAGGGATTCTAAATGTGATCCTTCAAAATAAGCCTGAAGAGTGATTTAATTTAACTTAATTTCATTTATTCTTGTCACATGTTCTGAGACATATTGGAAAGTGTTATGTTGCGTGCTGTGCGGGCAAATCGTTCCATAGAAAGTGCACCAGGGTAGCAGAAAAGAGTGCAGAATACAGTGTTACAGCTGCAGAGAAGCTGCATAGAGAGAGATCAAGTTAAACATTTGAGTGCCTGATGGTATCCTCATCCCATATTCAATTTCATTCCACCAGTATCAGGTTTGGTCTATAGTGGGTGTTTGAGATGACAACAGCTGTTTGCTGCCTCCATCCCAAAATGGATATTAACCCAAATGGGCTCGTGGTACCATGTCAGGATATGTGGGTCATCACATCCCCTGTCCAACGCTGAGCACAGTTTTGGTCTCTGCATTTAAGAAAATGTGAACTTTTGTAGGAAGCAGTAAAGTGAAAGTTCATGAAATTGTTCCCTGGGATTGGGAGATTGCCTATGATGAAGATGGAGTAAATACTCTCGGGTTTAGGAGGATGAGATGTGAATTTATTGAGATATTGATGTTTCTAAAGAGGGATTGACAGGGTAAATATTGACAGCTTGTACCTGCTGTTCAGGAAGTCTATAACATGGGGACACCAGTGTCAAGATTGGGGGCCAAACATTTCGGGCTTGGATGAGGAGAAATCACTTCAGTCAACAATTGTGAGAGTTTTTGGAACTCTCAACCCAGAGGGATAAGGATGCTCCATCGTCCAATATATTTAAAGCTTTCCACAGGAAAGTAAATCCCAAGATCAGCCATACTAGCTAGTCAACACGGCTTTGTCAAGGGCAGATCATGTCTGACAAATTTAATTGTGTTCTTTCACGAGGTGACTTCGACACTGGATGAGAGCGATGTAGTGGATGTGGTCTATTTGGAATTTCAGAAAGCATTTGATACGGTGCCACATGGCAGGTTGGTTAGCAAATTGGAAATAATAGGGATTGATGGCAGCATGGATTAGAAGTTGGCTAAAAGGCAGGAAACAGAGATTAACAATACATAGGCATTTCTCAGGCTGGAGATTAATTGAAAGAGGTGTTCCCAGGGGTTGGTGTTGGGACCTTCACTTTTTTTTCTGATTTATGTGGGTGTTAAAGGCAAAATTTCTAAATTTGCCTCAGGTTTTAAGAGAGGGAGAATAGTGAATTGTGAGGATGATGCTGAGCGAATTCAAAGGGACATTGTTAAATTCGTGAACTGGGCAGACAGACCAACAGGTGAATTTCAATACCGGGAAATGTGAGGTGACGTGTTTTCATAGAAGAAACGCGGAGAGACAATACAGGCTCAATGGTACAACCTTTGGGGAGTACAGAAACAGGGGGACCTAGGGGTTCACATGCATAATTCTTTGAAGGTGGCCAGGCAAGTTGAAACAGTTATTAAGAAGGCTGATAGGATCCCTGGGTTTATAGGTAAAGGCATAGAGTATGATAGCAAGGAAGTGATGCTACACCTCTACAAGCCATTGGTCAGACAACATTAGGAGTGTTTTGTTCAATTCTAGGCACAGAATTTGAGGTTACAATCAGAAGAGCCGTGATATTATGAGAAACATAGACAAAATAGGAGTAGGCCATTCAGCCCCTTGAGCCTGCTCCACCATTCATCATGATCATGGCTGATCGTTCCACTCAGTCGCCCGTTCCCGCTTTCTCCCCATATCTTTTGATCCTTGTCAGATGAGGGGCATTTAAAGCTCTGAACTGAACTCGGTGAAGTTTGGAATGATAAGGGGTGTTCCCATCGCAACTTCCTGAATACTGAGAGGCCTGGATAGAGTGGATGCAGAGAAGATGTTTTCGCAAGCAGGAAAGACTAGGACACAAGGGCACAGCCGCACAGTAAAGGGACGACCCTTTAGCACTGATGAGGAGGAATTTCTTCAAACAGAGGGTGGAGACTCTATGGAACTCATTCCCGCAGAAGGCTGTGGAAGTCAAGTCATTGAGTGTCTGTAAGACAGAGCTAGGTAGGTTTTTGATTAGTAAGGGTTATGGGAAGAAGGCAGGAGACTAATGTTCAGAAACGTACCAACCATGATTGAATGGTGAAGCAGACTGGAAGGACTGAATAGCCTAGTTCTGATCCTATATCTTATGATCCCCTTAGTCCTAAGAATTATATCTAACTCCTTCTTGAAAACATTCAATGTTTTGTCCTCAACCACTTCCATTGGTATTGAACTCGACAGGCTCACCACTCTCTGGGTGAAAATATTTCTCCTCATCTCCTCACCTTAATGCCTCACCCTGTATCCTTAAACTGTGATCCCCTTGACCTGGACTCCCTGATCATCGGGAATATCTATTCCTGGTTGAAATTTGTAGATTTTTATGGGTCCCACTTCCTTCTTTGAAACTCCGCTGAGTACAGCCCTAACTGACATTGTTAAAAGCAGGCTCGATGGGCTGAGTGGCCTCCATAGCTTCTATAACTAGGAGGGGAGGGTCGCGATTCAGAGACACACTTACCGAGAGGAAAAGGGGTTGGGGGGCGTAGGGTTTATACAAAGCTGCCTTGTTTACCTGGATATCAAAGGGGCAAATGATTTACCTCCCAGATCGTCAGAGCTGGGGGTGGGGGATGGGAGGGGACGAGAGTGGGATGTGTAGGAGAGAAAGCTGGTGGAGGGGGGGGTGGTGTTCAGGGAAAGGAGAGAACGGCAAAAGGAGGCGGCACGGTGCCTCACAGCGCTAGGAACCCGGGTTCGATTCCACCCTCGGGCGACTGTCTGTGTGGAGTTTGCACATTCTCCCCGTGTCTGCGTGGAATTCCTCCGGGTGCTCCGGTTTTCTCCCACAGTCCAAAGGTGTGCAGGTTAGGTGGATTCTCTATGCTAAACTGCCCGTTGTGTTCAAGGGATGCCTAGATTAGGAGGGGTTAAAGGGGAATGGGTCTGGGTGGGATGCTCTGAGGGTCGGTGTGGACTTGTTGGGCCGAAGGGCCTGTTTCCACACTGTAGGAATTGTATGATACCATGAAGAGGGACACAGTGTCCATTCACTGGAAACTGAAAGCCAGGAAGAAAAGTCAGAAATCGCTGATTGGCGAGAGCAGCTGTGGGCGGAGATGTAAAAGCTGAGAATTGGAAACAGACTGAGTGCCTGAGAGCTGGCAGGAGCTAGCTATCTGTGTCTGTCTCTGTGTGTATGAGAGAGAGAGAGAGAGTCAAAGATCACAGCACAGTCCCACACACACACACACACACACACACACACAGGCTGAGAGAGCAGCTCCCAGCACTGCCCTGCAGCATCTACCAGAGGGAGAGGGAGTGAGACACTCGGAGCAGACACCAGCCCAGAAGAGCTCCCCCAGCCCCATGACTGGCTCGGAGAAGGCAGCGGATGGAGCTGCTGGCCGCCTGGCCCCTGTACTCGGCACTGCCTTACTGACACTGGGGCTGTCAGTGCCCACCACGGCCCTGCTTGTCATCTACTTCCGGTGTGGAGGCCAGCCAGGCCACCCAGAGCAGGTGAGAGAGCGGCGGGGGGAGGGTGGGGGGATGTGGAGGTCAGCGCTGCGCTTCGGAGGCACGTCACCCACCTCGGGGGAGCCCGCCGCCGAGATAGGTGCTAGACAAACGCAGGTCTTCCTTGTTGGTGAAAGGATAAGGATAAGGATAATTTGAAGTTTCCCCATTTACACTCGTTATAAATCGCTGCCTCTCGGAGTCAGGGGCTCGAGAATCTCTCGGGAAATCCCGGGAATGGCACTGAGGCCAATTGGGAATCTAGTCACTGAGTGGTCAGCATGTGGAGCATCCCATTGGCCTCAGTGCCCTTGGAGAGGGAGGTGGGTGAGGGAGTGGAGCCAGGATAGTTGGAGAACCCCCTCCCCCTTCCGGGATGACCCTTGACAAGATCCCAGTCACTACTTGAGGGACCGAATGTCCTCCACTACTCGCTTGTGGGAGCTCAGCCATTTGTGGCGGGGGGGGGGGGGGGGGGGGGGAGGGGGCAATGTAAAATAGGGAGGGTCAGGAGGGGGAGCCGGGGTGGGCACATGAGAACCCGGTGAGCTGGTCCCAGCCAGCGATACCCACATCCCATGAATGACTGTTTAAGATGCCCCCTCTTTGTTGGATGGTATTGCAATGACCCTCTTCAACCCTTTCCCTCCCAGAGTTCACCAAGTTCACCAACAGGACAGTGAGAACCGAACACAGTGCTCTCACTGAGAAGGCTGAGTTTGGGCCGTACACTTGTCTTTTCCTGGTCAGTGCATTGAGTACAGGAGTTGGGAGGTCATGTTGCTGCAGGACGGGACATTGGTTCGGCCACTTTTGGAGTATTGCGTGCAGCTCTGGTCTCCCTGATACAGGAAGTATGTTGTGAAACTCGAAAGGGTTCAGAAAAGACTTACAAGGATGTTGACAGGGTTGAGGGGTTTGAGGTATAGAGAGACTGAATAGGCTGGGACTATTTTCCCTGGATCTTCGGAGGCTGAGGGATGACCTCATAGAGGTTTATAAAATCATGAGGGGCATGGAGAGGGTGAATAGTCAAGGTCTTTTTCCCCAGGGTGGGGGAGTCCAAAACTAGAGGGGCATAGGTTTAAGGTGAGAGGGGAAAGATTTAAAAGGGACCCAAGGGGCAACTTTTTCACACAGGAGAATGGAACAAGCTGCCAGAGGAAGTGGTTGGAGGCTGGTACAATTACAACATTTAAAAGGCATCTGGATGGGTATATGGATCGGATGGCGTAGAGGGATATGGGCCAAATGCTGCTTTGTTATTTTCACTTTGAACAGCTTCTCAGCTTCATTCCTCACCCCTATCAACATCCCCCCCCCCCCAAGCCCCAACACCAACAAGCCAACTGTTATAGTGGTGTGCGTAAACCGCAGAGTCTTTCCCTCCCCTTTGTGTTCCTGCTGCCTCTCTCAGACTGGGGCTGCGGTGGTCGGAGGGGGGTGGGGTGGTGAGGAGGTGGGGCGGTGGGCTGTTCAGGCTGATCGTGTCAAGCTGCCTGCGATCCCTTTGCTGACCGAGCTGAAGCAGTGATGTCTCGGGGTGAAACTGGGAAACCACAGCTTCCCGTTGTATGGGATAACACAGTGTGGAGCTGGATTAGCACAGCAGGCCAGGCAGCATCAGAGGAGCAGGCAAGTTGCCCTTTCGAGTCGGGACCCTTCTTCAGAAATGGGCCATTTGCTGAAGAAGGATCGCGACCTGAAACGTCAACTTTCCTGCCGCGTTCCTCCAGCTCCGCACTGTGTTGTCTCTGACTTCAGCATCTGCTGTTCTTACTATCTCTTCCCGTTGTATGGGCCGTGTGAGGCTCAGGGAGAGACATAGAGAGAGAAAAAGAGGTTGCAGAAAGATATCAGAGGAAGCCATCGGAAGGCGATCAGTGTCTGAGATTACTCAGTCCCTCTGGGATGTCCACATGGGAACACAGACAGGCCCAGTGTCTCCAACACTAAACCCAGCATCTTCCCCACTGGATCCCACTGTCAGATCTCAGCCATGGCCATCTGCCTGGGAGGGGAAGGGTCTGTGTAGAAATAACTCAGCTAACATTTTTTGCATTCGGAAAATGCTCGATATCATTCTCTGCGGTTGCGCCGCCGCCCGCCCGCTTCGCACACAGCAAGATCCCGTGAGGTCGCTGTCTCCTTTCTGTGTTGCTCATTAGCGTAAGGGACAAATATTGATCAGGGTGTGAGGGGGTTTCCCCTCCCGCTCTTCGAAAAGTCACACAGCGCTGGGATTGCTCCCATCAGGACAAGGGGAGTTGGGGTAATGACTGATGTGAAACAAGGCAACTGTGGCAGTGCGGCACTCCCTCAGTACTGACCCTCTGACAGTGCGGCACTCCCTCAGTACTGACCCTCTGACAGTGCGGCACTCCCTCAGTACTGACCCTCCGACAGTGCGGCACTCCCTCAGTACTGACCCTCCGACAGTACAGCAGTCCCTCACATTGACCCTCTGACATTATGCGCTCTCTGAGTACTGACCCTCTGACAGTGTGACATTACCTCAGTACTAATCTCTGACAGTGCAGCTCTCCCTTACTGCCAACTCTCTGACAGTGTTGCACTCACTTAGTGCTGACCATCCAACAGTGCTGCACTCCCTCATTGCTGACCGTCTGACTGCACAGTACTCCCTCACAACCAACCCTCTGACTGTGCTGCACTCCCTCAGTACTGACCATCTGACAGTGTGGCACTCCCTCAGTGCTGACCCCCTGGCAGTGCAGCACTCCCTCAGTACTTAATCTCTGACAGTCCAGCACTCCCTCAGTACTGCCCCTTCAACAGTGAAGCATTCCCTCATATTTACCCTCTAACTGTGCAGTACACCCTGAGTACTGACCCTCTGACAGTGCTGCACTCCCTCAGTACTAACCATCTGACAGTGCAGCACTCCCTCAGTACTTAATCTCCGACAGTGCAGTTCTCCCTCAGTGCTGACCATCCAACAGTGTGGCACTCCCTCAGTGCTGACCCTCTGACAGTATGGCACTCCCTCAGTACTGACCCTCTGACAGTGCGCCACTCCCTGACAACCAACCATCTGACTGTGCTGCACTCCCTCAGTGCTGACTGTCTGACAGTGTGGCATTCCCTCAGTGCTGACCCTCTGATAGTGCAGCACTCCCTCAGTACTTAATGTCTGACAGTGCAGCTCTCCCTCAGTACTGACCCTCTGACAGCGCGGCACTCCCTCAGTACTGACCCTCTGAGATACAGCGCTCCCTCAGTAGTTCTCTCTGTGTAGATGTCCCTAAAGGACATTTGTGAACCAGATGGATATTTACAACAATCCTTGATGGTTGCCATAGTTAATAAGCTTTCAATGCTGCTTTTCTCTTTAAATTTAAAATGTGACATTGATAGGATTTGAACCTCTGACCCAGAGCATTAGCGAAATCCCAAGATGACTTCGCAAGAGATGTTCCCAATGTCTCACCATGTCCCTTCCTGCTCCTTGCTGGATGGAGGCAATCTGATGGGCTCAATAGCCTGACTATGCTGCAAGCTGAGAAATTGGACGAGATGAGCGTGCCCTGCCTGTATCTGTACTTGGGCAAGATCCTATTCATTATATTAGCTCTGAGCTGGATGAGATTCTTGATATCCAAGGTCGATAAACAATTCTCAGGGGCTATGCAGAAATATAGAGTTGATGTTCCAGTCAGATCAGCCATGACTCTTCGAGCAGGCTTGAAGGGCCAAATGGACCACCCTTTTCGGCTGAATATTTCACAGAGGAGCAGGGAGCTGTGACTGGTCAACATTTGTTCCTTCACCAGAAACCCTTCATCAAACACACACAGGCAGACTCACACACAGAAACACACAGATTCACACACACACACACAAACCAACACACCGACACACAGACAGAGACACAGGTAAACACACTCACATAGAAACACACATACACACAGATTCACAGAAACACAAATGCACATAGGCACACACTCAGGCACAGACAGAGACACAGAGATACACACACATGTAGGCACAAGCACATGCACACACACAGACAGACACAGTGATAGAGACACAGAGACACAAATAGACACACACATACACACACACACACACCGAGACACATACACATTTACACACACACATGCATAAACATGCACACACAGATATGCACACACACAGGCACACTTAAACGGACACACACAAACACACAGGCATGTGCACAGACCAAGATGCAGATACCAACAGACATAGATAGACAGACAGACACACAAAATGCACACAAACACAGAGACACAGACACGCACAGAGACACACAATCTGGTTGTCATTGTGGCGTCGACTGATTGGGAGATCTTACTGTGAATAAGTAGTCAGCCATGTTTCGTGAATGACTACACTTCAGGAACATGCCTTCTTGGCTGTCAGGGCTGTTCTCATGTTATGAAAGGTGCTTTATAACTGCTGTTCTTTGTCCTTTTCAAATCAGAGCAAAGTTGGAACAAAGCTCTTACTAAAGCCAACACTTGTCTAAGGTCTGACACATGGTGCAATGGCTCTTTCTGAGAGGGATTTCCACTCTGGACAAGGACAAGCCTCTTGCTTTGCTTTCTTTGTCAGTATTCCCAGCATGTTGGGGTGCAGGCGAGAGGGAAGGGGATGGACAGTGCTGTCCATTCTCATCTCCAATGACCAGGAGTGCTGTAACCTTTCAGAAGTCATGCGCTCAGTGGTTAGTAGTGACTGAGTTCCTGGTGAGATGCCAGTGATAAACTTCGAAGAACAGCAGGGTCAGACCAGTGACAGTTTCAGAATGAGCTGCTGCATTTTACACCACACCCTGCAGAGCCAGTCTCCAACTAGTGCAGACATCCTGCTGTCTTTCTCTTCTTGGGTATGTTCTCGTGTGACCGACATTAACAGGCACTCTTACCTGATGTTTATCAATTTGCAGACACAGCACAGACTTAACAAGGTGGCTCTTGTGTCTTTTCTAGGGAACCCACTGTAACCTGTACAGCACAATCTTGTGGCAGGCTCAGCTCTCATTAAACACGTCAGTCTGTCTGGTTATCAAAGAGGCCTTACTGGCAATGAGAGAGCAGTACGGAGGCAGAGTCCCTCATCATATTGTGCACTCACCCTCTGGGACTAGGTGGGACAGTGGGTCAGACACTGTCTCCCTCCGGGACTGGGTGGGACAGTGGGTCAGACACTGTCTCCCTCTGCGACTGGGTGGGACAGTGGGTCAGATACTGTCTCTCTCTGGGATTGGGTTGGACAGTGGGTGAGACACTGTCCTTTCCCCCCACCTCAGGCCTGTGTAGGGTGGATAAACTGAGGAAAGGTCACCGGATCCGAAACGTTAACTCTGTTTTCTCCTCCACAGATGCTGCCCGACCTGCTGAACTTTTCCAACGACTTTGTTTTTGTTCCTGATTTACAGCATCCACAGTTCTTTTGGTTTTTATTAGGGTGGATAAACTGCCTGTGAGGAGTAGAATTCCAGCCTGTCACTCAGACATATTAAATCCACTCACTGTGATCGATACCTGATCATGATCAATCACCTTTGCCACAGCTCCTGTGTTCCTGTCACCTGACTGAAACCTGGGAATATCCATCCTGGAAGTCTGCTCAGCTTCCTTATCCTCCTTGTCTTCCTCAATCTCCTCATCTTTCTCATTCTCCTCATCTTCCTGAACCTCCTCAGGTTCCTTAGTCTCCTCAGCTTTTTCTTGGGTGGGAGAATTTTCGATTCCCTTCTCTCTGTGAAGGACAGTGCTGGCTGGTATCACTCTGCCCTGCTCTAGTTTTCTGTTCTACCCTTTCCTCCTAATGGGTTCCAGGTTTCCCCAGTCCTACTGGATCAATTGCCCCAAATGGATGGAAGATCCCGATGAGATCTCTCCTCACCCTTTGAAAGCAGACAGAATACCTCCCCATTTCCACCACCTGCCCTGACAATCTAACCCTGAGCTGTCTTACAAATATACTACCCAAGGCCCATTGAGCCCCCCAACCTGCTCCACCATTCGCTATGATCATAGCAGATTGAATTGTGGCCTGGATCCGCTGTTCCACACTCCCCTGACTCCCCTGTCAATCAAAAATTAGCCTTAAAAATATTCAATGACCTTCCTCCGCCACTTGCTGGGCTAGAGTGTAGCATGGGCTCACAACCGTCTGACAGAAAAGTTTTCCTCATCTCTGTGTTAAATGGGGAAATCCTTTAATTGTATCGCTGAGTTCTCACCTTCATTCCCCCTCTGAGAGGAAACATCAACACTCATCCTATCAAAACCCCTTCAGGATCTTTATGATGGTTTCAGTAAGGTCACCTCTCATTCTCCTGAAATGTGAAGGACACAGGCTCAGCTTTTCCCATACGATGGTCAATCCTTATCCCAGGAACGACCAAGTGAACGTCCTCTGAATGACTTCTGAAGCAGCAATGTCCTTCCTTATGTAAGGAGATTAAACCTCAACACAGTTCACCGACAACTCCAGCGCAAATCCCCATTTTTACATTCCATTTCCGGCCCCGACCTTTAAAGAACAAGGCCCAATGTCATTGTAGTGGTCTCTGCTGGCCTACTGGCTCCTCCAGTTGGGGACCAGACAGAGCAGTGACTGTTCTTCAGGGGGAGGAAGAACACAGGTAAATACAACTCTCCCTGCCCTGCAGCAATTGGCAAGGAAACACTGAATGGTGGAGAAGTTGCGGATATGATGAATAATTCCCCTTGCCCACTGAGGGATGGAGGGTTGGGAGAATGCCCAGTTCTACTGGAAATTTCAGACAGAAACTTGTTCAGCCTGGTCCAACCATTCAAATTGGATCGGCAGGTTTGTTCCTGTAAGACGCTCAACTTCAGTTTAACAGCAGAAAAGTATGATCAGTGAGTGTACCACTGACAGGGGAGGGGTATAGGCAGTGAGGCTGACAGGGAAAGGTGTAGTCAGTGAGTGTACCATGGACAAGGGGAGATGCAGTCAGTGAGTGTACCATGGACAAGGGGAGATGCAGTCAGTGAGTGTACCATAGACAGGGAAGCTGTACAGAAAAGGCTTCTCTTTTTTCACGGTTTGGCCAAGACCAAAAGGATAAATTGGGAAGTGATGTCACAACTAAATCCAGTGGGGAATTCATAATCCTTTCCCCAGACAGAGGGTAAGAACGTGGCACTCACTTCGACAGGTTGTGGCCCAGGCGCGGATTGTCGAAGGATTTATGGGGAAGTGGGTAAATCCACAAGGGAGGGGATTGGATTGAGTTGGATGGGAAAGGGTGGAAGGAGGTGGAGTTAGACAGGAGATTCTGGTAAGGACCTGCTCTGCATTGTAGGCTCGGTGGAATGAATTGGTCTGAGGTATATCCCCATGGGATCAGCAGGCAGAGCTAAACAGCCTATCGCACCACACATTCAGGAGAGGACCCCCTTCTAAACAACCAGGGAACACTCTTCTACAGAAACAGCAGGTTTAAATATCATAGATTCTTCTGAAGGAAGAGGATTGTGGTACAAGGGTGAGAATAAGGAGTTAGCTCACAGATCTCACAGAGATCTATAACACAGAAAAGGGCCCTTTGGCCCATGAAGTCTGTGCCAGACAAAAACAACCACCTGACTATTCAAATTCAATCTTCCAACATTTCGTCCATAGCCTTGTCTGCCTTGATATCCCATCTAAATACTAAGACCACATCTAAATACTTCTTTAATGTGATGATTGTTTCTGCCTCTCCCACCCTTACAGTGAATTCCAGATTCCCACCACCCTCTGGGTGAAAATGTTTTTCCTCACATCTCTTCAAAACCATCTGCCCCTTTGCTTAAATATCTGCCCCAGTCTTTGTTCCTTCAAACAAGGGGAAAAGTTTCTTACTATCTGCCCTGTCTATGCCCCTCATAATGTTAGACACTCAGTCATGGCCCCCCTCAGTCTCCTCTGCTCCAAGGAAAACAACTTCAGTCTGTCCAATCTCTATTCTTAACTAAAACTCTCCAGTCCAGGTAACATCCTGGTAAATTTCCTCTGCAATGGCCTTGTTAAGTGGAGGTGTTGAATGTCCGCTGTTCCAGTTATCGGAAAAGTTGGAGTCAAATCTTCAGATGTGGAGAAAAAAAAGGCAGACGATACTGCGAACATGCTGGTTTTTGTAAATGAGAAATGCTTCTCAAAGACATGACCTGATTTTACTGCACATGCTCAGTATCCTCCTTCCCAGCCTTCCCTGTCTCACAAACTTTACCCTCTCTCAAATCTCCCTCTCAGCCCCTGCCCCTTCCCTCCCACTCACTCCCTCCCCTGACGTTCTCACTCACCATAAATGGGAACAATTTGGGGCGGATTTGATGGCCAGTTGATGTGGGTTTGTTTTTAATAGACTGAAGGGGGAAGGGGAGCATTACTTCTCTCTGTTTCACTCCACAGATTCCTCACAATGCGTCCATGGTGAAAGGACATTTGGGTAAGTGCTGCATTATTCTGTGTCTGATACCCACCCTAAGTGGGATCATGGCTGATCTTGTTGGGTTGTGGGGGTGGGGGGGGGGGGTGATGGTTGGTGGTGTAGGTGGCAGTGGGGAGAGGAGCTGGTGCTGATCCAGATAGAAATGCCCATCACAAACACGGACACAGTAGCTTGAAATAAGCGATAACAAGATGTAGAGCTGGATGAACACAGCAGGCCAAGCAGCATCAGAGGAGCAGGAAGGCTGACATTTCGGAATGTTCCATCAGTGTCTCATGGAATCCTGCTACAACGAGTGACCGAAGGTAAAACTTTGACCTGAGTCATTTGCTCTGTGTGTTCCAGCTTAGCTATAGAATTATCTGGCTGTGTGGAGAGCCCATTGTTGTCCATTGCATCCTCCATGGCAGCTCCTCAGCCAATTGGAATTGACTGGCTGACCAATCAGCATGATTTTCTCCTGCAGCGTCAATCATTTTACATTTGGCACTTTTGCATTTTTCCTGATAAATGCACGGTGTAAAATCTCTGCAACCTGTCTTTATCTTCAACAACCCCCGCTGTGGAGTTATGCACGGTGAGTCAGTGGTTAGCACTGTTGCCTCTCAGTGCCAGGGACCTGGTTTCAAATCCAGCCTCAGGCAACTGTCTGTGTGGAGTTTGCACATTCTCCCTGTGCCTGTGTGGGTTTCCTCTGGGTGCTCCAGTTTCCTCCCACAGTTCAAAAATGTACAGGTTAGGTGGATTGGCCATGCTAAATTGCTCATTGTGTGCAGGCTAGGTGGATTAGCCATGGTAAATGTGGGGTTACAGGGATAGGAAAAAGGGCTGAGTCGAGGTGGGATGCTCTTCAGAGGATTGGTGTGGACTTGATGGGCCAAATGGCCTATTTTCACACTGTAGGGATTCTATTCTATACTTCAAATTAGTGTATTTCAAATCATATATCACTCTGTAACAAAAAAAAGCCTCCTGATCTTTGCCTCTGGGTCTTTTGCCAATCCGTAAAAACAGACTGGCCATCAATCAGCTGTTACTGGAGATAGAGTAAATACAAAGAAACTATCAAAGACATTCATGATTTGGAACACGTTGAGAAAATCTCCTGTCCTCACCTTCCCAGCTCCAGGCTTTAACATGAGCTGGTTTGGAATGGGTTAAAGTGTTGCAATAGTCACAGGCAGAAATGTGATGGGGCCATCTCAGTTCACATCAAATTAAACAGGAAAAAACAAACCTCCACAGGCTGAGCTCATGGTGAGTATTTCATGGCTTTTGAGAAACCTCATCACAGGTGTGAACCTGTCTTGAAAACAAAACTGATTTAGATTTAGGTTTAGATTTTATGGCCACACGTACTCAAGTATGGGGTACAGGAGTACAGCGAAAAGTGTCTAATATTGCCACACACAGCTCCATCTTAGGTATAATAGTGCCCAGGTAAAAAAAAAACTTAGGTACAAAGTCGTAAAAGAGAGAAACACAGTTAAAAAAGTTAAGCATTACAGACCTTCATAGAATAAGTAGAAAATTATTGAAATAAGGTAAGTAAAGTCCTTCTTATTATAAACTACAAACTAAAGGAATAAAGTTAAAAGTTCAACAGTCTTTCTTGAGTACTTAGCCTCTGCAAGAAGAACAGAAAAGTGCAGGAGAAATAAATATAGTGTCTCTGGTAGCATCTGGGAGGAGACAGAGAGAGAGAGAGGTATTGTTTCGATATGATCCTGCTGAACTGAACTGAGAAAACAAAGAATTTCCTGTTAAATTTTTTGTGCAGCGTTTTAACTGTTTAAACTGATTAACGGACTCGTAAAAGCTTCTCACTGCCCTCGCCGAGTGCGACACTTGATGTCAATTAAATGAGTCATACTTCAGTTAATTGTGCATGTTTGGCTCTGAAAGGTGTTATAGACCATAGATACTTTGATAGTGGCACCTGTGTGATTCCCACATTAACCAATAACCAATTCTTTCATTTCAGAAAGAATCAGCGAGAGTGATGAACAGTGGGAACTGAGAGGCAGCGAGAAGCCAGCTGCCCATTTGATTGGTAAACACAATGTTTTTCTCAATATCTGACAGTTATTGTGAGTTAGCCAATGCAAATCCCTGAGGGGTTCTTATGGTGGAATGGTTGTGTCCATATCTCTGAGACAGGAGACCAAGTTCAAGTCCAGAGCAGTGTCATAGCATCTCTGAACAGGTTGCTTTGGAAAATATCTGTAAATTTCTGAAGCCAAACAGTCACCTCCTTATTAAACCCCTGAGTTTATGGTGATTATTCTGCCACTTGATCTATACAGCGGACACCCCTCAGCCACATGCTTTGTGCCTCTTCTATACAAGAGGCTTGTTCTAAAGTCCAATAGTGGAGGGGGTCTGCTTCCATGTTTTAAAAAATAATGGTTTGATTAAACCAGAGCATTTCACTTTCCGGGTTTGCTGAAAGTTGGGCTCGGGAAGCTGGCTCATAAATGAGACATTGTACACCAAAAAGAAGAATGTTGAGAAACACAGAAGGGGGAAGGGGCGGGGTGTGAGGAGAGGCTAAATTCACGTTTCTCAGATAAGGCGCTGGTCAGTGAGCTAATGGGCGGTACATCTTGGACACGTCCTATGTCCCTGACAAGACCTTAATTCCAAGACTTTCTCTACAGTTCTCACAGCCTTCGCCAGCTCTAGATCAGATTCCACCACACTCAGAGTCCTAAACTTGTACAGGGAACTATAAAATGCTGCCTGTTTAACAGACTGAGATCCAGACATGGAATTTAGGAATCAAAGCGCTTTTAAAGATTCACAACAGTTTTATTACAAATCTATAATTTAGCACAAATATAAGTTTCCATGTTTCCCTCCTTGACTTTTTCCCTGTCCAGAAACCACACACCAACCCCTCCAAACTGGGAAGAAGATGCTTTTCTTTCAAATAAACAAAAAAAAGCTGCAGGACTTTATCATTCGCCAAATGCCAGAAGAGAGAAACCAAGAGGGTATCAGTACTCACCAGTCCCTGTGGTGCTCACCTATTCCAAAAAGCTGAAAGGGTGCCAATGGGCACCTTGTGTGCTGCTTTTCCAAGGAGACCCGAAGAAGCTGTGGAAAGAGGCAGCCAGTTGTGAATTTTGACCTTATCCACGGCCTATGAACAGACGCACAAGGAGGTTCTCCAAGGAACCCAACTCTCTTACGTCACACAAAACTATCACCCTCACCACCAAGTAAATGAAGCAATTACCAGTGCTGCCCACTGGGGGCAATGCAATGATAACAAAAGGGCATGAGTCGAGAAGGAAAGAGAGAGAATTAAAGTGCAAAAGCTGAGCTCATTTTTTAAACAAATAAAACTATCACCAAATCGCCCGTAAGAACGCAGCTCTTCTCTTTTTAAGTAAAATTGATGGCAAGTCACCTGTGTTTCTCATTAAAAGAATGATTCCCAAGCACAACCCATCAGTGCAACAATGACACATATAGGGGAGGGTAGTAAGAGAGGGAGGGGACTCAATTAAAGTGAAGTTAGAGAGGGAAATAATTCCCTCCATCTCCTGTGGTGCCCACCTCTCTCTGAAAACATCAAGGATGTCAGTGGACGCTGGGCACAAGTACCCAGCTCTTAAACAATCCGTTCAGGCACGTTATGACATACCTCCAACATGGGTGGGAATTGAATCAAGGTCTTTATCCCAGAGGTAGGGACAACACCAAGGGCCCAAGATCTTCCAAGTCATCCATGTTACTAATGGAAAGAAAAATTACAGGCATTCACCAGGAGTGGTGCAACAATAGCAAAGGAGAACGGTCGGGAAAGAGGGATAGATCTAACTTAAAATGGAGCTAGAAGGGGAAAGACAGAGACACAGAAAGACCAGACCAGGTACGGATGGCAGATTTCCTTCCCTAAAGGATGGTAATGGACTAGTTTGGATTTTTACAATAATCCAGTTGTCATCACTGGGGGAAGCTTTTCAATTCCAAAGTTATTTTAACACAAAGGAGTTAACTTCCCCAACAGTCATGAGGAATTTGAAGGCAGTCTCCAGAACACGAGCCCAGACTTGTGGTTTGCGAAACTATTAACGTTACCATCAGACCAACAGAGACCAACAGTGGCAGATCCACAGGAGGTTAGTGGGTCATTGATGATTTAGTGTGCTCGGGTTCGGCGGGTTTTATTCCTTGCTGATCTGATGTTAGTTTCTCCTTCTCTTTGCAGGAATCTATCACCATTCTCTCAAGGACAGTTCCAGCGCTCATTTTCACCGCACACTGGAATGGGAGTCAGTCAGGGGTTTGGCCTTTACTAAGGACTCAGTGCGCTACCTTGGCCGATCTCTGGTCATCCCCAAGCGTGGCCTGTACTATGTTTACTGCCAGGTGGGCTTCCGTGGAAGTGAGTGTAAGAACCGACCGGTTACTCTATACAACCGGGTATACCGCAAACACGACTCTTACCCCGAGCCCCTGCTCCTGCTCAGCGGCACTGAGACGGTGTGCGGCAAGAACCACAACAAGGGCTCCTGGTACACCACCCTAGGCCAGGGGGCAGTGGTGGAACTCGAGAGGGACCACCAGCTCTTTGTGAATGTCAGCAACCCCCATCTGGTGGACTACCTCGATGGAAAAACCTTCTTCGGTGTCATCAAAATCTGACCTTGGCCCTGGAGGGTGGGAAGGCCAGGGGATAGAGAGGGCTTTGCAGAGATTAATAAGTGGGATATGAGTTACAATGTTACTTTTTTTTAGCATATATTGTTTCTATTTTATTACAACAACTTGCATTTATATAATGCTTCCGGCGCTGTTAGAGCATTCTCCAGCTTTTTCTCAGGAGACTCAGTCAGATTCAAGTTTGGTACCAAGGCACATGAGGCTTCATTTGAACACAAGGGGATCTGCCATTTAAGGGGAACCCTGATTCTTCACATTGGTTAGACTGTAGATCCTTTTTAACTCTCATTGTTTAAACTATAGATCTTTGTTAACCATGACTGGTTACATTGTACAGCACTATTACCCCTGATTGGTTATACTGTTGATCCTTGCCAACCCTGATTGATTACACTTTGGATCCTTGTTAATTCTTATTGGGTACATTGCACAGGTCTAATAACCCTCTCTGGTTATACTGTAGATCTTATTAGCCCTGATTGGTTACAGTGTAGTTCCTTGCTAATCCCAAGTGGTGACCAATACAGGATTCAATGTGGACTGAGCAGAAACCTGATCCCCCAGACTGTGGAACCCATGAGCACAGGGAGGAACAGGGATGGACAACAGAAACATATTTGTGAGGAAGACATAAGACCACAAAACATAGGAGCAGAAGTAGGCCATTTGGCCCACTGAGTCTGCTCCACCATGACTGACATGTTTCTCAACCCCATTCTCCTGCCTTCTCCCTGTCTTCCTTAATCCCCTTACAAATCAAAAACCTATCCATCTCTGTCTCAAACAGACTCAATGACTTGGCGTCCACAGTCCTCCAAAGCAATGAATCTGAACACAGAGTCACCATCCTCTGACTGAAGAAATTCCTCCTCATCTCAGTTCTAAGGGGTCGTCCCTTCACTCTGAGGCTGTGTCCTCAGGGTCCTAGAAGCTGGAGGGAAAACAAGGCCCAGAGAGAGAGAAATAGACGGAGCTATTGATGGGGTGAGGTGCAGGAGGTGGACCACGTGAAGCTGACCAATTAGGCACAAGCCCCTTTTTCCATGCTGTAACCGCTCTGTAATGGCTGGATTTCTGCACAATGCATTTCTTTCACACACCAGTCTGCCATTCTTACACAGGCATAACTTCACTTAATGCTGATCCACTTGGCAATGCAGTGTGTATCAATATCTCCAGCAGAGCAGGTTCAATGGACAGAGTGGCTTCCTTTGCTCCTAATTTATACATTTGGATCTTGCCACATTACTATAGTTGTTTTTAGTTCTTACAAGAACAAGAGTTCATGCTAGTTACTTAGTGCTGTTTAGCATGCTTAAAATTATACATATTTTTTAAAATAACATTTTGATGTACTGACTGATTTTTTGGTACATTTGGTACTGTTTAAACATTGCCCTGTGCTGTTCAAACATTGCCCAGTTTTGTTTAAACATTGCTTGGCACTCCTACCACCATTATTTGACACAGTTTAACTCTCCTGCATCCCTCAGGGCTGTGAGCTCTGATAGCATGCCATTAAAGAACACCTTCTGGGGTACCTGCTCTTTATTAATGTGATACTGTTATTCAGGGATCCACCAACATGTTGGAATTCTCACCTTCCCAGGGTCCAGTGCTGTGGACAAAGGTGAAGTATGTAAAGCGGTCATATCCCCACTTTCTCATTAGAGAGAGAGAGAGAGAGAGAGACGACTGGTGATTGTTTAACCTGAGGGCCAGCACGCCTCAGGTGAGGAGTGAGGTTAAGAGTCCTTCATAGTAACCTCAGCCAGTGCAGGAATTGAACCTACACTCTGTGTGGCAAACCAACCATCCAGCCAACGGAGCTAACGGACAGGAGTATTAATGTGACACAAGGCATACCGTGTTCCTGTACAGCTACCCAGCTACAGTGGCATACACTCATGACCACTGCAAAGAAAAACTACCTAAAAACAAAGGAAATCCTGCCTGCTCCCTGGCATGGTCTTACTGAAATACCGAAATAAATCATTCCCAGAACGTACACCATGGCTCTGTGGGAATTCCCGCTCCACACCATGATCCTAAGCCCTCCTGATGGGGGATCAGAATAGAGAACCAAATTGATATTCTAATCCACTGTTCTTCACCACTCACTTCACCGCACCCTGCCTCATCCTCTTCTCAATAGGGGCAGTAGGTTTGATTAAAGTTCCTCGTCTCCAACATAAACAGGTTAATTCTGGCGTGGGCAGTGATGTAGAACAAGCAGTAATGCCTTGACTGCCTGGCATAGTCCCATCACATAATCAGCTCCATTGAATTTCAGTTTATAAACAATATCTCCCCCATTGGGTGTTGTAGAGTGACTGGATCTGGCTCTTTAAGTGCATGCAAATGCAGCATATTTCATTGATTTGCTTTTTCCATCATTTCATTAACATCTTTTACCTGTCAATCTATCATTGCAAACATTTTTTGCCTTCTTTCTTTCTCTCTCTCTTTCTCTTTCTTTCTCTCTGACTCTTTCTCTGTCTTTATCTATCTATCTATCTGTTGCATTATGTCTCACATTCAGTATACCTTTAAGAGATGTACTCATGGTATCATCACTGTATTATAGTGTGACCTGAGGCTGGTAAATGCTCCACCTTACCCCAGGGTCACTTGAAGCATTCTCTCTACTAGAAACATGCTGCTCTTTGTAACTGAATGTTAGCCTAGACACAAAGTTGTATATAATAATTACCTGTAATAAATTTGTTGTGTCTTCAATATTGCAATATCCAGTTTTTATTTATTGTTGTGGGAAATTATACAAGTATTATGGCAAAAGATCAATATCCTGCTGGAGACGTTCCTGTCACATTCTCTATCAATAGGATACAGTGCTCAGAGTATCGGTTAAACTTTCCATCTTGACCCTTCTTCAATAGCTGACAATGGGACACCTGTAAGGTCGGAACATTCACTCTCTGTAGGCTGTGTGTTCAATCATTTTCCCAATGATCAAGAACAACCTCTAGGCGATAACTTTTATCCCTTTGCTCTTTTACCACCTATATTTAAGAAGGCTTGAAGGACAAATAATTAAGTCTAATTGATGGTGCATCACCTGAGGTGAGGTCAGTCTCTGTGAGAACTTAACAGAACAAAACTTTTCTCATTGAAATTTCCTCAGGTTAAATGGACCTGTAACCATTGCAGTAAAAGTGATTAAAACTGCAACACCAGTCTTTAATCTGTTACACACAGACATAGATACAAATACACACACTGACACATATACACTGTAATGTACCTAGACATATGAACACACGGAATTTCTCATACAGACATAAGCACACACAAATGCAGGCATTCAAACATACACAAACACACTAAAACACAGATGTTCTAACTCACATACTTTAAGCAACACATACAGCAGTGTATACATGACTAATTCACAACACTATCACAGAGGGATTTTAGTACACAGTGCACACAAAGACACACAGATACTGAAACTCAGAGGAAGACACGCATGTTAATCCACACACAGTAAAGGCAAATATTCTAATTTACTGAAGTACACAGATATCCAACAAAGTACTAACATGTACGCACAAAACAGACGCATGACAGACATAGACACAAGCACAAACTGAATCACAGGCTAAATCACACTGACATATATATATAGAAATGCTATAGAATACTAACACACATACAGTAACATTCACATCTACAAACATATACACAGCACTGCCTGCCCACACATCATGATACACTCAGCACGTTAACTCACTACTTCATCCTGAATTTGGTTCACTTGGCTGACCAGTTAATTTTGTTGAATCTTGGTTTGTATGTGGTTAGACTTTGTTCCTCTCTTTGTGTCTCACCCTCCACCCTGACTTAGAGCTAACTAAAACCTTGTGGCTGGCGTCTGCCGTTGTTTAAAAGTTGACTTGGACATTTACTGCCCTTGCTGAAGTGAAGCATAGATCAACTGGGCTGAATGGTCTGTGCCCATATTTTGAATCCAATTCAATGTAAACTTCCTGCTTCTTTCCCACTCTCCCCTCTAGCCCACTGCTGTGATGGTGTAGCCTCCATCTCTGGGGGACGGTGACACAAACCTGTCTACCACTGACGCTCAGTAGTAGCAGTGTGTGCAAACTCCAAGACGCATTACAGAAATTCACCAAGGCTCCTCAGGCAGCTCCTTCCAAACTCACAACCTCTTCCATCAGGGAGGACAAGGACAGCAAATACATGGGAATATCAGACCCTGCAAGTTCCCCTCCAAGCCACTCACCACCTCGACTTGGAAATATATCACCCGTTCTTCCATTGTTGCTGGGTAAAAATCATGGAATTCCCTCCCTAAGGGCCTTGTGGGTCAACCCACCGCAGATGGACTGCAGTGTTTCAAGAAGGCAGCTTACCACCAGCTTCTGAAGGGGCATCTAGGGACAGGCAGTGAATGCTGGCCCAGCCAGTGATGCCTACATTCAGTGCATGAATAAAAAAAAATTAAAGACAGCAGGGTCAATGGCTGAGTGTGCTTTTAGTGGGGCTGACTTGGGGTGAATACTTGCCGAACTCCTCTTCTTCAAGCCACGAATGCCGGAACTTTGAGGCACATCTGACACTGCAGCACTCCCTCAGTACTGCTTTGAGAGCTTCAACCTGAATTTTGCTCATAACCTGAACAGAGTTGGGGCTTTGAACCCACAACCTTTCATATTTCTTTTTTCTTGTGCCTCTGTGAAACTTGGTAGCCAATGGAAATCTGTTTGTAAACAGTGCTGAGCATCCGTACTCTTTCTCTGTTCACACACGTCTCACATTCTTAAATGTGCTTGTTTCTAAACTCATGCATATTTGTGCGTGGGGTATGCTTTTAGGATGCGTGCATGACTTTTTACTTACCTGTCTGCGGAGAAAATGTATCAGCATTAGAGTTAGGATAAAATGCTGTGTGTGTCAAAGGGAGGAGAAGCTCGAGCACGGTACATGTCTTTGCATGTGTGTATCCTTAGTTTTGTGAGCATGTATGTACCTGTAGGGATATCTCTGGAGGCAGTTCAAAGTTTACAAGAAAGATACCTTTAGGGCTTAAGTTATTGGGAAAGATTAGACTAATTAAGCTTTTATTCTCTAACATATAGAAGATTCAGGGGTGATCTAATCAAGCTCTTTAGGATATTAACAGCAAAAGACAGGGTACATAAAGATTAACTATTTCTACTGGTTGAAGATTCTAGCACCAGGGGGCATAGTCTCAGAATTAGGGCCAGACCATTCAGGAGAGATGTTAGAAAGCACTTTTACACACGTAGTGGAGGTTTGGAACTCTCTTCCTCAGACAGGGATTGATGCTAATTCAATTGTTGAATTTAAATCTGAGAGAGACAATTTTTTTTTATTAAGTAAGGGATGTGTGCCCAAAGCAAGCAGAGGGAGTTAAATCACAGAGTAGCCACGATCTTACTGAATGGCAGAACAGGCTCAAGGGGCTGAATGGCCTAGTCCTGTTCCTAAGTGTATTCCTGGGTCAGGGTATATGTGGTTATATGTATCTGACTGAGAAAATGGATGTCTGAGGGCAAAGGTCTCAAACACATGAATAAGGTCACAGATTATCAGGCAGTAATAGAACCCTGTGTTGCTTTATCCATGGCCTATAGATTACCCTGGAGAATGTGTGGAGGAGATTCACCAGGGTGTGGGGTGGGCTGGATAGTTTCAGTTACAAAGAGAGATCAGATGTTTTCCACATAGCAGAGGAGATTGAAAAGGGGACACGATTACAATGCATTAATTTATGAGGGACAGGGACAGGTCAAAAGGAACACACTTTCTCCCTTAATGGAGGGATTAATGACCAGCGGCATACATTTAAGGTAAGCGGCAGAAAGTTTACAGTGAGGAGAACTTTTTCACCCAGAGGGTGGTGGGAATCCAGAACTCATTGTCATTAAGAGTGGCAGAGACAGAAACATTCATCACATTGAAGAAGTATTTAGATGTGATCTTGCAATGCTAAGGCACTCAAGACTACAGGCCAATGGGATTGGAATGTTTAGGTAGTTGTTTTTGACTGGTTCAGACTTGATGGGCCAAAGGGCCTTTTCCTGTGCTGCAGTCCTCAATGACTTTACAGGAGGTTCCTCATCAAATTTGGTGACGTAACACCAATGGAGGAGCGTTTCACGAGGTCCTCCAAATCCAGGGCCAAGATGACGATTACACAGCAGCTTCTTCTCCTAGGCTAATGTGCCCAGTGTTGATACGTTAGTTACTTAAATCTCCCTCCCCTCCGTGGGACATGCCCATCATACACCTGACACGAGCCTCAGGAAGCAACTGCCGCACTTGAACTTCACCTCCTACTGAGGAGGACGATGGAAATGCTTTCATGGTCAGTGTCCCTGCTGACTCCTGGGGCATTCTGAGCTTGTGACTGACCGAGATGGGAAAAGGATCATCTGGGAAGGCACCAAACACAGAGAGACTTTTTTTTCAGGAAGGTGGTGAGGTGAGGTCAAGTATTTAAGACAGGAGTGCTAGAATCTCTAAACAACCCCTTGGACCCCATGGGCCAGGCATATGGCTAAGTCCAAAGATTGTGCATCAGAATTATGGGCCACCTACCGACCCTTCAACCGGAGTGGGAGCGAGTCAGTGTCAATCCCAGGTGATAAAGATGAATGGTGTGTGTCCACAGATCTTTACAAGTATCAATACATGTTCTTTTACAAACCATTCACCTCATTCATCCCTAGTGGTGTTTTTATTTTTTATAAAATGAGGTCACTTTAACATTGTGGCTTCCTTTTTGAGAAAGCCTTGTTTGGAAGAATCCTGCAGAATGGTTTCTAATGTTGGAAAATTAGATTGAGGAAAAGATATCAGTTACAGTGAAGCCCACAACAGGAACTGTGCTGCTTTCAAAAGCCATGAATCACACCTTCATAGAAAGAAATGGCAAACACCCACTCACGTACGAAATCAAATTAAAGTTTTACAAATTCATCATACATCTTGATGTATATAAACACAGACAGTCACACACACTACAAACACATACACATACAAACACACACACAATTGCACATGCACACATATATAAACATGCATATGCACAGTCTCTCACACACACACACACTCAAAACATTTTAAAGAGGTAGGTGTGTGTTTCATCATGTCTGGGTTTATTTTTATCCCAGTCTCAGTGGTTAAATATTCAGTTTCTCCACATGTTGGGGACTTCACAATAAAACAACATGTAAAAATACCCAGGATATATTTATATTACGGGACAGTCACTGGCTTTTTCAATGCAGAACCAAGAGACTGGAAATCCCCCAGATTCCCCTATTCCAACCCATCTTCCCCACCCCACTCCCAGCTTCCTTCTTACACATATTAAACATAGAAGGAAGTCATTCAGACCAGACAATGGTTGCGAGCAAATGATATTATGTTTAATGACCTCTCATACATCCCCACACATGTTTTACTTAACACTTGAACAAATCCAACTCCCTGAATGAAGAAATGGCCATTCAACCCCTTGAGGCTGCTTGCACTTCAACCAGATCATGGATGGTCTCCTTTGACCTCAGTACCATTCTCCACTCTGTCCATAGATCACTTGAAATATTAAATATTCAGAAATTTGTCAATTTCTACCTTCAGCTTGCTCAATCACTGAGCTTTGGGGTCGTGGGGCGGGGCCGGGGGGGGAGGTGAGGTGGCACCATTACATGGTGGAGCAGAGT